ATGAAATGTATTCAGTATTTCTATCCAAAAATTTTATCAAAGCCAAAATATTTGTTTACCATGTGTTGTTATTCCTATCTTCGAGATGTTCTGTTTGTTTTCGCCAGTGAAATATTTTTGTTTATCTATAGGTCAAACAGGGTTTCGGAGAATTCCTAATATTCTTATCTTGATAATGAAATTTTTCAAATACAATTTAGCCATAATACATTGTAACAAATGATCTATTCGAGATTTCTTTAATGAATTTCTATATGCTTCTGTAAATATATTATTTCTTTATTAGCATTATCATATTTCCGTACTGTGCTTCGTAAATAGTTAAATACTTTCGAAAATTGTATCAAATGTCATCGGTTGGTGGCCCTGCTTTATCACTAACTAACTGAAATTAAGAAATTTAAACTAACACATTCAAAATTATTGCCTGAATATGTGTTTGTCGAAAGACATTTCGGCATGAGGTTCGACTCTCTGATGGGTCTACAACAATTTTTCGCTTAGTATCCCTAATCCTGGACAAAAAAACTTTCCAGCTGACACTAGGTTTTTAAAACTTGACAAATAGTGTCAGTCGTTCGCAAAATGAGAATGAATGAGAATCACTTTACGATAAATGAAAAAAAGGATTTTTTTTTTAATGCTTATTCACGTTTCTATTTCGTTGGACAATTTAATTGTGAACAAAATGCAAAACAAATATGTATATTTCTTTAAAACAAGATAGTCGATTTGTGGGTAAAATTAATAAGTTTCGATACTGCAATGAGAAGATGAAGTTTATCAGAATTATGTGATATATTTGCCTTTCGTCCTTAAAGAATCAAAGTTGGTTTAAAGCCAAACTAGTGGATATAGTGCATCAGTTTCATTGTTCTGAACCATAGCAGAGAAGCATATTTACTTCGCAGCACTTCAAATCATTAAAAGAATTGCGAAATAATCCCGATATTATTATAATTAAACTCGATAAAGGATCTGGTGTTGTTATTATGAATAAGTCCGATTACAAGAAAAATAAAATGAAATCAATTCTCAGTGATAAAGGCACATTTTTGGCCGATGTTGACTTCGATAGATTACGTAAATTAGAAAAGAAAATAAACTCGAATCTTGTGAAACTGTCAAACATGAATGCTTTTAACAAGGATGAGTTTAACTTATTAAAACCTATCGGTTCGGCGTATCCTAATTTATATGGATTACCAAAAATTCATGAGCCTAATAACCCCCTACGTTCAATTCTATCTATGTGTCGGTCACCTACACACAACCTTGCAAAATAGCTTACTAAAGTATTAAACCCTATCCGAAATCAATATTCTAAGTATTCATTGACTGACTCATTTGAATTAATTAATTACTTAAAGGACATAAATATAAAGACAAAGGCAATGTGCTCCTTTGATGTGAACACTTTATTTACAAATGTACCTCTCAGGAAAACCATTGATATTTTGTGTGACTATATTTCTTTGAATAACCTTCCACTCCCATTTCCTGTTAACACTCTTAAAGATTTATTATTATTGTGTACAGATAATGTAAAATTCACTTTTGAAGGTGAGCACTTCCGACAAATAAATGGTGTAGCCATGCGTAGGACCATTGTTGGCTAAGGTGTTCATGGGATATGTTGAAAATTTAGTTGAAGACTCAATTCGAAAGATGGGTCTGTATGAACGTTATGTTGATGATATAATAATCATAGGGGATAAAGGTGAAGACATAAACCGCTTGTTAAAAGAGTTCAATAGAAGTCAAAAGCATATTTCTCTTACATGTGAAGAAAAGAAGAACAACCATCTTTTTCTTCTAGACATCCTGATTAGTAGGAGAGATGATGGTTCCATCCAACATGCTATATATAGAAAGCCAACATGGATAGGGCAATATATTAATTTTCATAGTCACTACCCTTTTCATTACAAACGCGGTTTAATAAAAAGCTTATTCAACAGAATCAATCGTATTTGTACTAGTGATACTAGTGAAGTAGAGACGAAGCTCTTGACTGATACGTTAGTGAATAATCGTTATTCTTTGAAGTTCATAAACTGCTGGAAGGGTTGTAATACGACTAGACTTATGACGCTTCTGGCACCCAAAAAGCGAGTTTATATTACGCTACCATTCAGATGCGACATAAATAGTCTCATGCTGAAACAGAGACTTAAATTAGCTATCAACCGGACATTTTATGCGGCCCAACTTGTCATTATCGAAAAGACAAGGTCTATGTTTCACCAAAAACCCAAACAGCACGAAAGCGATTGTCACATCCCATTGTGTCTATCAATTTACATGTATGTATGGAAACACCTACATAGGGAGGAGCAATCGCGATTTGCAATTAAGGATGGGTGAACACATACCAAAATGGTTGCAGAAACAAATGGATTCCAATGGTCAAATAAGATCACAGGATAGACAGACATCATCCATCATTGCTAAACATTTGATTGGGACGGGTCATAAGGTTGACGTCAAATCAGCATTTGTAGTGTTATACAAATCCTTCGTGGACGTATACTAAGGTTTATTGAAGCCTTGGCTATGCGGAAATTGAAACTCCCTTTATGTGTTCAAAAACAATTTGTCCTTACACTTAACCTACCCTGGTAGTACTGATTTATTATCCAGAGTGGTAATCACATTTGTTTTTGTTTACTTAAATATTTTTCCTTTGTTATGGCTTACCCTTAACCTGTCTAGTTGACCTTTTAATTTTCATGTATAAATGTTCTTTACAAGTATATGTGTGATCAGATTGTTCTAAATGTATTGCACAAATATATCACATAATTATGATAAACTTCGTCTACTCACTGCATTATCGAAATTTATTAAGGGGACTAATCGTTTTAAAATTAATAAGATTAACTTTGAATAAAATCACGGATACACCTCCAACTAACTAATAAACCTTCAATAAAATTTCGTTTCTTTATACTGAGGTATTTGGTCAACAAACACACCCATAAAGGTCAACATAATTCATTCTGAAGTTCTTGAACTTTTGTAAATAAAAAGTTAACCTAATATCGCCTTATCCAAGTACTTATTTCTCTAGATTTTCCAACTAATCTACTTTTGGAGAAAAATTCTCTGATTTCAGTTAAACAACTACTGAAAAGCAGGAAGCATTGAACATTTATTCCATCCTAGTGTTAAACTCTGCGTCTATGCGTAACCACAACTTGCCTCAAGGGGTCGAGCCCAGAACTCTCGCGACCTGATCGCTGTGAGACCGAAGGGCATGGGTTCAGTCTCACACAGGGTCGTGAATTCGCACTGATGAGCCCAATGCCAGGATGAGACAGTTGTTCAATGCTTCTTGGTTTTCAGTTGTTGTCTGATTGAGATTAGTCCGTGATCTTAATCATTAAATTAAAATATCTACAAAAACTCGCTACGGTTTGAACAAATATTCAGAAAATATTCGTGCCCAACTACCCATCTATCTTGTTGCTAAGTAGGAGATGATTAACACTAATAGGTTATTCATTTAGAGCAGTCATCCCTTCATTTGATCCAAAACATGGCTTAGGATTACGTGCAGAGCAACATTTCTAAGTGATTAATGATAGTTACTCCTTTCTCATGGTAGAAATGCAGAGAATATATTGTTACGTAAGTTTACACGCCATAGGAACGATTGAAGCTAAAATTGAAATCTTCGTGTTTTTGTTTAATATTCATGTTGTGTTACGTGATAAGGTCATAATCTTAAACTTCCAAGTCCAAGTATAAACAAGTTTTATTTAACTATTTTGGAGTTGCTGATTTGTTATGTGGTCCCCTAATTCAATCTAGTTAATCCCCTTGATAAATCACAATAACTAAGTTGATCAGCATAGTCCTAATAAGCTTAGTCATCTGAATGCGTTATTAAAATTCCTGAATTTATTTTCTTTATTTATCTAATGATAACATGTTAAAACTTGTTCTGTATCTGAGCCAATCAATGAAAATTGATTATATGCTGGACTGAAAAAACTATTAAGTTAATTGCATTGTTTATGAACTAAGTACAAGTGGTTTTCACAACATTAACCAGTCTCTGTTTATTGATGTAGTGTATTATGTGCTCTGTAGGTTAAAAACCTAAAACAGAAAATGAAGGGCGTGAATTTAGTAATGCTTCACTCACGTTCGAAGTACACTAAATCTGCAGTTTGAGCGAACTCCTAGTGAGTAGAAACTGGAATTTCCGACGTTTCGCAACTCAGTTTAAATCGCTTCTTCATAGAACAAATAAATAGCTGAAACAAATTAGCGTGAGTTAATTCTCTGGAGAAGGGACTTAAACTAAGTTGCGAAACGTCAAAAATCCTAGTTTCTACTCATTTGGATATTATAGATGCCTTATTATTTTGCTATTAACAATCTGTCCAATGTTCATTTGATTTGTAATTATTATCACAGATTTAAATCATGAGTCAGTTGAAGCTAGACCACCACGGGATCGTGGATGCGCACTGCTGAGGAGTCCCATACTAGGATGAAACGGCCGTCCAGTGCTTCCAGGTTTTCAATGGTGGTCTAGCTTCAACTGACTCATGATTTAAATCTGTGAAAATTTCTAAAATCTCCACAAACCCCTTCTGATTGTAATTATTATGCTAAACCTTGGTACTGATACCAAATTTTTAGTTGCCGCGCCAAATCCGAACAAACAATCTATTTCGAAAACGGTTGAATGAAGCCGTACATCAACAATTTCATATACATTTCGTACATTAACAGTCCTCATTAGGCTATTTCACATACTCAAGACCGGGTGATGCAAATGAATCATTCACTGAAGTTGTCATACATCTAAATTAGTATTGGTTTTTCGTGAACATTACTTTTGTTACCATACTAAAGTAGGACACTGAAATTTTTGTGACCAATCATATGTCTCATTGGTTAACCAATTGCGTCTAAGTGATCGATTAAACTAATAATTGTAATCTTATTGGTCAATAGAAAGTAATTTTAAACCCAGGTTGGTTGGATAGTAGACATTAATTCGTTTTGTTTATGAAATGGCTTGTATTGTGAGTGACGCATACAGTTGGAAGGACACTAACCTTGCACTTTTCGGATCCGATGTAGAAAGAGCTGTAAAAAGTGAGTATTAAAATATTGATAGCGATAATGACGTCTATCCATATGACCATTTTAGTAATTAGTAGTTTGATCTCGGTTTTTATTTTCTGTTACTTGGTGTCTAGTCTTTTGATATCACTGACGAATTTAGTTTTTGATTTTTGAAGGTGGTAGTAGTAATTATTGGTGCGGTAGAACCATATTTTTGTAACAGCCTTGAGCTGCATATTAACTATCTCAGAAACAGCGTTTGGTTACGAAACCATTTACGACAAATAACAAAATTTTTAAGGATGCATGGTCCCGGTATGATAGATGAACGAGGAAAGTTTAGAATTATAAATTAGGAGCTCAGATAGAGTCAGGATTGTTCGGCTTAAAAGTTGGCAAAAGCTGGCAGGACTAATTTATGGACGGATCAGTCAGGTTATGGGTCTTGTATTGGTGCGAAATCCGTTCGTCAAAATGGCAACATTTGGGTAGTATGGTTAGTATCGTTTAGTGATGGAAACCATGATTCTAATTCCTAACCCTAATTTCTCACTCTAAATCTTAGTTCTTATTCCTCAAAATAATCAGTATGGTCATCCATAATTTAGGGATTTGACAACATACTTTTATTTATTTTGGTATCTTGACGTTTGTGTTGATAATTAATCTGTTCAGGATGCCAAACGATAGAAATTAGAATGTTTATTGGTTTGTTTGTTATTATTCCATAAATAAGACATGGTGACTATTTCTTTGCTACATAATAATCAGTTAACAGTGAAGTATTCCGTCATTTACAACCGGTGGGTGGATCTAATAAATCGGTCAGTTTAAGAATAACCATATGTTCATATCAGATCCGAGTTGTACAGTAGTTGCTGGTGTTAGGAACTTTACAAATTTCACTGTACTTCTATGAAAATTAAACAATGTATGGACAAAGTTATAGCGCCGTAAAAAGCGGTTTACATAAAATGTTACATGCAAATGGTTGATTTATTAGGTCTCATTATAAAATGAATAGCCATTAGAAACAACTGGAAAGAACTGCCCAGGACAGAGTTGGGTGAACCCTGGTGGGAAGCCGACGCCCCTCTACGAGGGGTATCAAGAGTAAGTAAATGAGTTACTAAGCGTACAGCATATCCCATGTGTGTATGTTTGACTGGAAGTATACTTCGTTTAGTAGTATGGAAATCTAGCTCATCCTATCTGTCAAAACAAGTGCTAATGCACCTCAACTGTATAGTGATATTAAATCTAGTGGTTACATAAGCTGCTTACTTCACATTAGTTGTTGCACCACAGATGTGTTCCCAATCTAAAAAATAATCCACAGTGTCAAACGCGAGACAGGTATCACCAGTGGCAGGGGACATTAGTCGCATGTTATTATGAATTGACTGACGTTAGAACTATGAACTATTAAATACCAACTCCGTAGCATCAAGATAACATGCTCATCAAGGAACATGGAGGTCCCGGGTTCAATCTTCAGCGGAGCGCTGTGGGTGTACCCCGTTAAGCAGTCATGCACTCAGATAAACAACCATCCAAAGCTCTCTTCTCCAATACCTGTATGTGCATAACCAGTTTATGTTGTAAACTACAAAAGTCTCTATGATTGTCTGTGCTTTAACCTACTGTTGAAATATCAACGTATTACTGTGATAATTGCAATCAGCTGATGTTATTCGATCAAACATATTTTTGAAAAGAGCAAGAACAAACATGCTAGCAGAATAGCATGAATTCATTTTTATTTCGTTGGTTCTCGTCAGCTGCTTACAACCTGTGATATTCAAAATCATAATTAATGGGTTTAAATTACTTACATGAAAGAGTTTGATTGGAAGTTATGTTGAAGACATATTTGTATAGTATAGCAAGGGTGTAAATAAATTTAATAGACTGAATATTGTAAATATTTATCTTATATGATGAAAGAACATTTTTGAATAGGATATGGAATAACTTAAATCGACAGTCGTTTCTTGATACGATGTTAATGAGTGGAGTTGAAATAAATACCAAACTTCGGTCGCGTATCAAGAGTAAATACTTAAACGAGTGGATTAAGTTTGCATTCCCTACTCAATAAAGGAGTCTATGGAACCCTTGGTAGTTTAGCATGAATAGTAAACCAATATGGTTTTATTTTCTGTTAGCATTCCTAACAACCTTTTCTACAGAAGTATATTTTATCTTTCCCTAAATTACAGGTGTTACATTAAAAGCTTACCTTCATTACAGATATTGGGTTCAAACTTTTTATGGTAGCGATCACTAAGTAGATTATGTTCTGAATACTGAAAGCTAGTAACCTATGGTGATTTTTGGTCATATGTTTAAAGCTTAATGGATAGATAAGAAAGCAAAATGTTGATATATGATTTCCTTGATTTATTTGCAGAGGAATCTGCTGAGAAAGAGCCAGCATGGGGACCGGTACGAAAGATTGCCTCCTCTACTCTAATGGTCTGGCGAATAAAAGTAATTCTCGATGTTTTTACTAGTGATTATCTCTAATAGTTTCTGAATTATTGTATTTGTTTATGTTCTTTTCAGCTTATTTTGGCTTTTTTTTCATAACGACTTAGGTAAAAAGTTAACATGCTAAACTTAATGCAGTTTCTACATACATACCTTGACATGTTTGCACTCCTGTACGTATTATTGTTAGTGATAGGCATTTATTGTAGCAAGTAGTAGACGATAGAGTTTTCGTTCTTTAATTGGGCTAGTTTCGTCAACCCCATTAACTTTGATGTTTGTGGTAATGGACTATAATCACACAGTAGAAATAGAGTATCAAACCATATCTTAGCAAATCACGTATTACTGATTTTAGAGTCTTCTTATTTCACCACGAAAATTCTTCGTAAATGTTTTTGAGGCAAAATTACTTATTTGAAAATGGTTAAAATAACGAATAAATCTCAATAACAAATTATGATCTCTGCAAAATTAACAAGTTCATATTTGTAACTGTTAGTAAAATGACGGATGGTTACTTTCTCTGACGTATCCCACGATACGCTAGATTGGATACTTGGACGGCACCCTATACAGAAACTAGATCATATATGCGACTCATGACCAAAAATAGAGAACTAAAGTAAATACTAGACAACATTTTACCCAACATAATTTCAAACAGTCACTCTCAGCGAGTACGAAGTAGCAATCGAATGCAGCAAAGAAAATCATAGTAGTATGCTTGATAACTGTTTGTCCACGTTCAGTGACCAATCACATTTCACTCTCATCACCACACATCAGTTACCTTACACCTAACTGTTAAGTTTCGAAAACTGATACTGGAAACAAGAAAACAGTACGATTCCCACGACCCGAAGAAGGCAGAGATTGATAGTAGGAGCAGATTTATTTGACTTTTCAAAAAACAACAACTATCGCTAACCTAATACACTCATTTTGTTTGATTGATTTTACGGGTGTTTGATGATCAGTCATCTGAAATGTATTATAAAATAATTGGGAGGAATACCAAATCAGATTTTGGCACCAACGTTTATACTATGTGCAAGCTGAATATAATACGAAACGAAATTGACATCAGTTTAATACAAAAGAATATTATACCGAATAAATGTAACATTGAAGTAAAATGAATGTTATGTCGATTAATTTTCATACTGAATTGAAACAGGAGTAATACTGAATAAGACTGACATTAAGTTAGAATGTGATCTAGTAGTAAAACTTATTGAGATGAATTCATCTATTCGTTTTGGTGTAGTTTCTATTATTTGATGTAACTTAGTTGAGAGATTTTCTAGTTTGTAGGTGGGTTTAATCACCGATTAGAATATATTAATTTCTCATGGAAAATCAAAGAGGACTGTATAAATCCTTGCATATGATAGTGTAATCAAAATTTATGTTTGAACGATTAGTTAGTCAAGAACATATCTTGTGACGTGTGCAGAGTTATTAGATACAAAGACAGACTATTTAAAAAACTTTACCATTCACAAAATTGGTCATTTTGTATATTCTATTCACATGTTTGTGTTTACTTGACATAGTCTGTTAAAGGTCATAAGGATAACAAATAAATGGTGTTCAAAAAAGTTGGTCTCTGATAAATTTAATCGATGTAATGAGTAGTTTTTCATAACTGTATGAGTCCCAGAGTGAACATCAACTCTGAGATGCAGGTACATCCAGCTGACGAGTCCCAAAACAGGACGAAACGCGCGTCCTGGATTCCACTGCTAGCCACTATCCATCTCTGCTTATAATGCTTGTAAATTAAGGCAATATCGAGGCATACGCACAGTATGCACATATGCCAATAACAGACTGATCAACTTCAGTCCTAAAACATCAATGGGAAGATTCAAATAAAACAATATCGAGTGAATTAAACTTCACCCCATTGCACAAGCAAGTGGCTATCAGGACTCAGTAGCTAAGTGGATAACGCGATGGCGTTTGAAGCGAACGGTACTGAGTTCGAGTCCCAGAGTGAACATCAACTCTGAGATGCAGGTACATCCAGCTGACGAAACCCCAAACAGGACGAAACGCGCGTCCTCCATTCCACTGCTAGCCACTATCCATCTCTGCTTATAATGCTTGTAAATTAAGGCAATATCGAGGCATACGCACAGTATGCACATATGCCAATAACAGACTGATCAACTTCAGTCCTAAAACATCAATGGGAAGATTCAAATAAAACAATATCAAGTGAATTAAACTTCACCCCATTGCACAAGCAAGTGGCTATCAGGACTCAGTAGCTAAGTGGATAACGCGATGGCGTTTGAAGCGAACGGTACTGAGTTCGAGTCCCAGAGTGAACATCAACTCTGAGATGCAGGTACATCCAGCTGACGAGTCCCAAAACAGGACGAAACGCGCGTCCTGGATTCCACTGCTAGCCACTATCCATCTCTGCTTATAATGCTTGTAAATTAAGGCAATACCGAGGCATACGCACAGTATGCACATATGCCAATAACAGACTGATCAACTTCAGTCCTAAAACATCAATGGGAAGATTCAAATAAAACAATATCAAATGTATGATATATTAGGTGATAAAATGAAATAAACTCTTGTACATTCGTAATTCATCAATCCAACAATGTTGGTGTAATTAACTTTATCCGTTTCACCGATAAGGCAATGTAACTTTAGAATACATTCGTGTAACAATCTATTAATTTACAACTTCGACTTCAATATGGTGAATGAGACTACTTTATCCTCTTCTTCAGTACCCGCTAATCAGAGTAAGCAATCCATTATGCCAGAGGGATTAAATAACCTTCAAGTTAATTCAGTTATTTATCGATTCAGTGATTATCAACTACATAATTTGTTCACCTTGTCGTGAACGAGAACACAAGTGGGGATAGTCAAATGTATTTGAATACAAAATTACAGAAAATCTTAGTAAAATCTCAGAACTATTTACAAAATATCAATCAATCGTTCAAGACTTCATTGTTCATTCGTCTCTACATCAATCGTTCTCTGTTCTCGTTCACTTTTCTTCAATCTTCCTAACCTCCTGCCACCGGGCATTTCACTTTCGATTGATGATACATACTACTTATATCTGTCGATATCAATAGCACACACCGCAACCTGAGTATTTTTCACTGAACACAAAATCACAGTAAAATAATTGATACAAGGGAAAATGCATTTAGAATAAAGTAACTGACTACAACTGAAAATACAGTGAATGTCAGTGAATAGGATTCTCTCTAAATAAGTTAGTACAACGAAAATGCATTGAACTCAATTAGATGAAAATCACCTCAGATCGATGTGTAAATTTAGAAATAATTTTCTTCTTTACACGTTGTGTTTGAGGATATAGCATTCTCAACAATTTATCTACCTTAATCTTCATTTAATACCCTATCTTTACTATGGAAAATTGTTCCTTTATGATGACATTTAATATTTTTTAGAACAAGAACAACAAATCTTAAGGGATCGGATAAATTTATTTTTGTTCCACATGGCTTAAATCTATCTTACGAATGTTAATTTCAAACAGAAAACCTAATTTTTTAAAAACGTTCCTCACAAAATTTCGTGTGTAAAAGTGCATTTTACTGATATCAACATGTGAAAGTTGTACAACAAAAGAAACATAATTGGCATACCAAATTTTAAAATATTTGTTGTTCTCGCTCCTTACAATTTGACTGGTTGGGACCAATTGTGTGGAATTCGGCAAACCCACTGTCTCTTTTGAGTATTCTATTTTGATATTGATGAAAAAGAAGAGCGTCAGGACACTGATAGAAAGCCATCAAGTAAACAATACTACATGGCTTCTTAGTAGCCAAGTCGAGATACGATGATTCACTGTAGTCTAGAAAACAGAAAAATTATAATGTTTAATAAATCCTTACACATGATAATAAGTTGAAGAATGGACATAACACATTCATGTTCAACATAAACAGCTTTCGTCGGATAAAGTGGAATTAGATGTTTGCAGATACACAGTTTTTTTAAGTAGTAGCAAGGAAACGAATATATACGTAAGAAGACGACTGTTTTAAATAGAGCAAGAACAAAGATTGGTGCAGAATAATATGAATTCATTTTATAAATGAATTCATATTATTCTGCACCAATCTTTGTTCTTGCTCTATTTAAGATAATAAAGGGAACTATGTGTATGAGACGACTGTTTTGTTTTCTGTTAAACATTCGGACGATATCTTTTTCAGGATAAACCACATACTCATAGATCTTTTGTCTATAGAAAAGTCCGAATTATTAACGCGTTAAACAGATAATATACATTTATACTGGATTTTTTTAACATAATATAACGAATCATACAAAATAGAAGATAAAATGAACTAAGCGAATTCTTATTTCATAGTTTAAATACAAAAAGTATAAACAAATATTGAGCATGAATGCAGTGTTCATTAAAAACGTCTGTGGATCTAATCACAACCGAAATGTAGTTTAGGAAAGCATATTGAACGACTTACTTGACACCTCACCAAGCAACTAATTCTTACAGCGTTAGTGTAACCTATTTTCTTGTTTTGTGAAGAGTTTATGTAGTCGAATTCTAGAAGATTCCCACTGGAATAACAAGTCTTTAAGTTAAATTCCAGATAGCACATGACATCGTTATTCAAAGTATTTCAAATAGGAACAAGTCTGTACAGTAATTGGCTAAAACTCATAACTTGGTTTATTCATACCATGTAATAGTTTGAATTAGAACATGAACTAGGGGAAATTCTGCCTCATTACTGAACATGCTATAACGTTAACATTAAGTGTGTATCCAACTGCATTGGTCAGTAAATTCATCAGAAGTTTATCTAGGGATGAATGTGTGATATATATGTATGTTCCTGATACAGACCGTTATAAATAAGAGAGCTTCTGTAAGTTTTTAAGTCATTTGAATAGTATATACCCACACGGATTTTATATGGGGATTTGCCAATCAACTTCAGTAAAACCTGAAGAATAGTACATTTTCTCGGGTAAATGATGAAGACTTTTAGTGAATTAAGATCACCATCTTCACGAAGGTGGGATTCTTTGGATTTATAAAGGTGGATTCTGTACACTGATCAACAGGGATTAAAATATCGAATCAGCTTGTTACTTCGTGACGTCAGCCCATCTTCACCTGTCTCTAGTGCTCACTTTATACTACTTACTAATAAGCAGTAGTTCGTGCCATATTTAGTCATTCCCATAGCTTTTAACAATGCCGGATGATACTTCTTTAACTTAACAAACCGCTTACCTTATTCGTCTATCGCTATATTGGCGTCCTAGTTCGTTCTTTTAGTCGTATTATTGTTCCTTCGTTTTCTTTTATAAAATACTTTTTTAAAAGTTTGCTTTTGACCTCTTGTCTACTTTCAATATAGACTAATTTATTCCTTCAATCGTTGGTATTTCCTTTTTATATATCCAAGAACTCTCTGATTTGTATCATTTGCAACAATTTTAGTATCATTCAGTTATTTGAAGGTTACACTTTCGTCTTGGCCATGCACTTAACAGCATAGTTTACTTTTGGCAATTTCCCGACTAGAGGTTTGTAGATTCTGAGCAGCGTTTATTAAGCTTTCCACAACAAATTTGTCCTCTCAGATAAAAATTGTCTTTTTCAGTATCTTTGGGTATAACTTGGCGTTTCGATTTGTATGAATAATTCTTTCCGTTGATAGTTTTCCTAAGCAAGGTTCCAAACTGTTTAACAGTCTTGGCCAAGCTACAGTCAAGAAGGTAGTCTATATATACCCGTTTGTTCTTTGGTCTTTTGAAGACACTACAAATTTCTATTTACCCGTTTAGGAACACAGCATAAACTGAATTCATTAAGTAGCGATGGTATGTACTGTGCATTGATTTTCAATAGAGGTCGGTTACACGCTCTTTAGATAGTGTTAATCTCTATCGCTATATGTGAATCAACTAATAATATTCGACTTAACCCCCCACTACCTAAGACTCATATAGTCCCTTTTTATTTCACCAAAAATCATGGGTTCTCATCAGTCACAGAAACACGACCAATCCTTGTTATCGACTCACTTTTTTGTTCATGTTCTTATCGTTCTCTTTGTAATTGGATACTATTTTCTTTCTTTGTACTAACTGTAATGTTTCCAAAATCCTGCCACCAGTTAACTGTTCCTCTCCAGAAAGTGCGTTCGACAGTTATTGTAGTACCAGCCAGAGACTTTAATGCTCAGGTAGGGCGCCTAGGCACAGAAGAGAATCGTTTAGGTGGCCGATGTCCTATGTCTAGCTAGCACTAACTCTTGGCACAGTCATCGCCGATGTGCCACCTGGCGTCCTCCCTCTGCATCTCAAGCCTGAACTCAGATTGATCACAACGCGATCAGCTACCACTGGAGTGGTTGTGTACAAGACTGTCGCTCCTTTTGGAGTACCTATCTGGATTCTGATCATACCCTGGTCTGCGTCAATCTTACCTTACCCTTCAGTGGCCAACGAAGTAATTGTCACCAGATGATTGGCGTCAGCACATTGGTTGCAACTTCTGTTACAAATAAGTATCAAACCGGGCTGGCTTCTAGGCTAGCTACCATTCCACCGAAAAGTATAGATGACCATTGGTTGCATCTGCATAACGCCATCAAAATGGTGAGTAAAGCCGCTTGCGGCTTCGCGAAACGTCCCGCTGATAAGCACTGGGTTTCTTCAAGCTCCTTACAACTCATCGAAGCCCGTCGGTCTACTCCGAATGACCGTGAGTTTGACCACAAACGAAGACTGTTACGTAATGAAATCGGGCAAAGCTTGCCCCCAAATGCTCTGGTACGTCCGAGAGTGTGGAGAGCCCACTCTCCCTCTCCAAACGCTCTCACATGGCCACGTTCATACAACCACTTCCAGGGAAGTCCTACTCACTGCCTTCTCGAGGTATTACTGTTGTTTACGAAATTGAGAGGACGGAAAGTGAATGTCCGGCGCTTTAACCGGATTGGTGGATGTGGAGAGCCCAACTAGGGGAGTTGGAAAACCCCGATCCCTAACCAACGGTGTACATGATCTTCAGTATCCTGAGGGAACAAATGGCGTATGAACCAATCGTTAATCACCGGTTACCATGGGACTGCATCTCCTTAAGATGCCCTACTACTTTGTGGATCAGACCTTCAGGTCGAAGGCTCCGGGTGTGGCTTCCTAAGAAAACCACCTGCTTCGGTTTGGGCACCCGGGCAGTATCACAGCCCTCACACAATTCAAATGAGATTTGTGTGGCGCATATGTGTTTGGTGACTTCTTGTACCAATATCTATGTGTTAAGATAAATAGAGAATAATAATAAGGCTTGCGTAAGGATCGAGAAGCCTGGTGGTTGGAGCGTGCTAATGAGCTGGAAGCAGCAGCTGCATCTGGTAACTACCGGAAGCTCTTCCAACTCATCCGAGCCACTGGCAGCAAGAAGTCTGGTGTGAGCGAAACAATCTGCGAGGATGACGGGATGCCAATCACTTACATCCATTGATGTCTTGGACGATGGGCAGAATTTTTCGAAGGGCAGTTCAACTGGCCTGCTGCTCCGGCAACATCTGTCAGACTGTCTTTCACTTCATGGCCGGTGATGACTGATCCACCAAATGAGGCGGAAGTCCACAAGGAACTCCAACTCTTGAAGCGCTACAAATCACCTGGCCCAGATGACTTACCTTCGGCCCTTTTTAAAGATGGTGGTGACTTTCTGGCTAAGGAACTGACGACGTTGGTTACAAAGGTCTGGGAACTAGAAAGTATACCAACGTCATGGAATGAGTCGATAGTTGTCCCTATCTTTAAAAAGGGTTCACGTCGTTCCTGCAACAACTATCGGGGGATAAGTCTACTTCCGATTGCGTCCTAGCTATTGGCTTCCGTCATACTTCGTAGGTTGTTCAAAACCCGAGAAAGATTGACTCGCGAGGAGCAGGCTGGGTTTCGTTTCGGTCGAGGATGTATTGATCATATCTTCATACTCCGCCAAATGTTAGAACACCGCCATACTTATAAAAGGCCAACAATCGTAGTGTTTCTTGACATCAGGGCTGCCTTCGATTCGTTGGACAGGACTGTTCTCTGGGATTGTCTATTGAAGAAGGGTGTGCCTGAGAAGTTTATTAACATCTTAAAGGCTCTATATACAAACACCTCAGGGAGAGTGAGGGCATATAACCACCTTTCTCCATCATTCCATTCAAGCAGTGGGATGAGACAGGGTCGCTCAGTTTCACCATTCCTCGTCAACTTTACCATCGATGACATTCTGGAAACAGCTCTGATGAATGTAAGTATTGGTGGTGTAGATCTGTTGACTGGAGAAAAACTTCTAGACCTTGAGTATGCGGATGATGATATTGTCTTACTGTGTGATAATGCCCGAGGCGTGCAATCCGCGCTTAATCAGTTGGCAATCAGTGTTCCTAGATATGGTATGTGTTTTGCACCTCCGAAGTGCAAAGTACTTCTACAAGACTGGCAGGATTCTAATCCTGTACTCGCCCTGTATGATGAGCTGATAGAAGTAGTCGAGAAGTTCTTGTATCTAGGTAGCTGCATAAGTACTGGTGGTAATGTGAGTGAGCGGCTTATGTCAATCTGGGCCATCTTTGACGCCTTCGTGTATGACATGGTGTCGGGGCATGAATGAAAGTTGCAAAGATCTGGCTTGTGTTGGTCCTTCACGACTCCCTGGTTGGGGTCTGAGAGATGGTGCTACACAGTGTCTAGAGACGTTATCAGATATGGCTCAGAATAGAAGCCAGTTGCGATTCTTTTGTAACCTTCTTTTAAATTCTTCATGAAAAGTGATAGTATCTTCCTTAACTGAAAGATTTCCTGTGGTTGTACCTTTCCGTTTCCCCCAATTATTATTATTATCACACTTCCTTTCACAAATCTGGTAGTTATTGTTCCTCTTCTTTTTTTTCTTTTACGCTTGTTACCTTTTTTTTCTCCCCATTCTCATTGTTTTGTGTGGCGCATATATATTTTGTGCCCCCTTGTACCAATATTTATGTGTTCAAATAAATAAATAAATTCCAAAATATAAATTTATGAGCTCATATCGTACTATAATTTCAATTACATGAGTGTTTATATGAAAGCAAATGACAAACTACAGGAAATCTGTTATAAATTTAACCTTATTAATGTATCAGTGAATAAAAATGTTAAATATTTTTAAATACTGTGTACTATATTTTTAGAATTTCCAGTTAGAAGTTGTTCGAAGTGAAGACATTGGCAAATTTTTCCGTGGTGATTCCTATATTGTTTTAAATATCGAAAAAGTTGGTGATGAACTGTTGTATGATGTTCATTTTTGGATTGGACGTGAAAGCACAGCGGTAAGTTTATGTGCTTACATACATACTTACTTACTTACACCTGTTACCCCCAACGGAGCATAGTCCTCCAACCAGTATTCTCCAACCCACTGTCCTGGGCATTCCTTTCCAGTCCTATTCAATTGTTGCACATTCTCTTCATGTCTGTCTCCATTTCTCGGCGTAATGTGTTCTTTGGTCTTCCTCTCTTCCTTTGACCTCAAGGATTCCACGGGAGGTCTTGTCTTGTGGCGCAGTTGGATGCTTTCTTCACTGTGTGTCATATCCACTTCAAGCTCTCCCTGATTTCTTCTTCCACTGGCATCTGGTTTGTGTTCTCACACAGTAGATTGTCGCTAATAGTGTCTGGCCAACGGATCCGAAGTATTTTGCCTAGACAACCGTTAATAAACACTTGTATCTTGTGAATGATTGCTTTTGTAAATCTCCAAGTTTCCACCCTGTACAGTAGAACTGTCTTGACATTTGTATTAAAGATTCTGACTTTGCTGTTGGCTGACAGTTGCTTTGAGTTCCAGATGTTCTTTAGCTGTAAATAATTTGCTCTTGCTTTGTCGTCCTGCCCTTTCACATCTGCATCAGATCCACCGTGTTCATCAATGATGCTGCCCAGATATGTAAAGGTTTTTACATCTTCGAAATCTTTTCCATTAAGTGTGATTCGATTGGTGCATGTTGTTTTGTATCGAAGAATCTTGCATTTCCCTTTGTGTATATTGAGACCTACTGCTGTTGAGGCTGCTGCTACACTGGCCGTCTTCTGCATTTGTTGTTGCGTGTGTGATAGAAGAGTCAGATTATCTGCGAAGTCTTGATCGTCCAGCTGCATTCTAGCTGCCCTCTGCATCCGTGTTTATATAAATTTTAGATATAGACAACATGACCTAGTTGTTTTAAAAAAATCAATATGTCGTAGATAAAGTTAATATTGAATCAGCAATTTCTAACGACAATTTACCTAAGGATCAGACAGAATAAAGTTTGTTTTTTGGCTAGATGAATCAGCATATGAAAATTTAGGTTTTTCTGGAATTTTGTGACATTTTAACAATTTCTCTCTAAGTAATTCTCACGATAGTTATGTTCAAATAACGGGAAACGATGAAGGCAGCCACTGAAACACTGAATATTTCTCAGGGGTTTCTTCACAAAGACTTTCTAGTTTTCGTTAAATTCCGATCAAGTATTTTTAAACTTCATACTTTAATGGTATCGACGGTCTACATGGCCACTATTAATCCTTGGAATTCACTGTACTATGGAAATTCTACCCAACTTTAAAGATATTATCAGGAAGTGTTGATAACAAGTGTATGTTTTTAATGTTTTACGACGTTAAGTAGTATTTTCATCCTAGTTTACGAAATCTCAGCAACACACACGCACGCTCACATTATGGTGTTCATTCTGTTCTCGATCATAAGGTTTACAACATACGACCTAATCTCCTTGAAGATCGAAATACTGGCACTATTTGAGCCTGTTGATTCTAGACTTAGTCTAGCAGAGGTTGCGGTTCTAACATGTTCAATGACGATCAGAATTCATTGATGGTTTTTTTATTGTTGATGATTCCAAATTATGTCTTAGCATACGGAACTCTTGATATACATGTAAGTATCTAATCAGAAAGATTAATGGCATAGTTTGGAGGGTTTTAAATCCCTATTATAGTAAATAATGTATTAGAATAAAATAGATTAAAGTATTGGTTGTCTAAAGTACTGTTTAAGCAACCAGTTGACTGGAAATAAGTCAGCAAATGACAGAAACACCTTGGGATATGCTATAACTTAGCTTTGAACACAGTTTAAAACAGACGTTTTCCTAGATTAACTTGGTCATTTACAACAGATACAATTCAGTAATTTTTACTAAGTATGCATTTTGATCACATTTAAAACAAAATGACTGCTGATAAGGGGACATCAATGGCGTTTGGAAAACTAACTAATGAAGAAATAAACAATTATTATCAATTCATACATCATCCATAATTACAAAGCTGTACTGGAAAATACATTCATTAGTTGTAGCTTAGTTTCTGATTTTTCTGATATGAAAATCAAAATTTTACCCAATTTTAGGATGAATACGGAACAGCAGCTTATAAAACGGTTGAATTGGATACTTTTCTTGACGATAAAGCAGTTCAACATCGAGAAGTCGATGGATTTGAGTCTGATTTGTTTAAAACTTATTTTAATCGCTTTGAGTAAGTTCAGTGTAAATTTAATTTTGTTGGCTAAACATCATTATAAATCTTTGCTCAAATTAACTTGATAAATTTCCCAAAAATATGTTTTCAGAAAAACCGTTTAACTCTATTTTATACGTCATTATGCGATGAAAATCTTTAATTTGGACATAAAGATTTGTAAAACTGAAGAAGGAAAAGTTTACTTATCAGTTGGACGATTTCGTAAAGTAGACCAACGTTGAAGTTTTGTCTAGTTTTATATTTTATGTACACCCGTCTATTTAGTTGGAAACTAAAGTTCGATGTTATGCTTCATGCTATTTAGGACTTACTAGTTTACTGTGACATTCACTGATCCCAGTGAGACTAGTATTCACGAAATTTCAAGCCATAGGCAGATGGGTTGTCATTAATGTATTTAGGCTATAACCAACCTACTGAAGTTTTGTATTATCACAAGTCACTAGTTGAGTTACATGTTACATTATCTAGCCCATGGTGCAGACTGAATTCCATCGATCAAGTATTATTATTATTATTATCTTATTTTGGTAGAATAACGAAAAGACGTAATCGATCTGAAATGTGTGGTGGATTTGCGATGTACATTTTGAACAATCTAGTTACACATATACTTTTCAAGGCAGTTGGTACGAAAATTCATAAAGATTTACTTAAACTTGCATTTACTTGGCCTTTATTAATTTTCACCTAAAATGCCTTGACAAGTATATTAGTGACCAGATCGTTCAAAATGTATAGCACAAATACATCACACTTTTAGGATCAACTTTGTTTTTTCATTGTCCTGTCAAAAATTATAAAAAGGACCAATTGCTTTAAATATCGATAGTAAGTTTTGTTAGTTAGTTATCACAACTGGGGTTTTCTGCAGTATGGTAGGAACTCCTATTAGTTTTATTTCCTTTCTTGTAAATTACTTTATCAGAAACATTTTATTGTGATGCCCGAAGAGGTCAATACAATGAACTTAACGAAATGACCGCCTATTGCTTCCAGGTTTTCAATGGTGGTCTAGCTTCAACTGACTCATGATTTCAATCTGTGATAATAAGATATAAAATATTTGGTTGTGATTTACGTGGACGTAAATTCTTTTGTAACTGATTTGGGGATTTTTCACTTGGCTAGTTACACTCGTTCAGATATAGTTTTGCACACAAGGCTAACAAGTTCATCTAACCTTTATGTAGTGTGCGCAGGGATTCTTCTCTTCAGAAATTTAAAACAATTAGTCCCTTTAATAAATTTAGATAATGTGATAAGATGGTCGCCAGAATTATGTGATGTATTTACATTTAGAACAACTGATTGCGATCGGTCATATCAAGTCAGCTTCTGCAATTTTGTACAAAAGTTTCCACGAAAGAAGATTTAATTTTATTGAGACTTTGGCTATACAAAAACTGAAACCTCTTTTATGTGTTCAAAAGCAATTTGTTCTTACGCTTAACCAACCCTGATAAACTGACCTACTATTCAACGCCGTTTTCACATTGTGTACTTCATTATTATTTTTGTTCCCCTTACTTTTTAATTTGTCTAATTGACCTTTGATTTTTGCATACGTAATGTCTTAGGAAGCACGTATGTGATCAGATTGTTCCAAATATATTGCATAAGTGTATCACCTAATTCTGATAACTTTCGTCTTCTCATCGCATTTTACGAATATTCACTTTTCCTTGAACTAAAGGTATCTATTTTACCTTGACCAGTTCTCAGAGATCTATTCTTTCTCATTATAATTCTAGAAATTAATAGTTAAACACTGATTACTTAATTGGTTTAAATCATGTGGCTGCTCAGAAAATTCACATTGATGCATATATCTCCATCATAATTATACTTATTTTTGTTAAACAACAATTTCATTTAGTGTTATTCCCCCTGTTTAAATAATCGTACAGATGTAAACAAAAAAAACACGTGTTCTATTCCACGTGGAAGTAAAATAGTTATATGTCAATTAGTTGTTATGCATTGTATTTCTTTACTCAGGGGGTGTTATTTACTAACACTAAACATAATAAAACTATCTCATTTAGTCAACAATAAAAGACAGACTGTTATTAAGTTAAAACAATGTTATTCTGTAACTACATAGATAAATTGTAAAGCTTTATAACATATAGTTAATGACATGTTAATCTCCAATCAAAATCAGTGGTAGTCTACTTTAGTAATATTATCGATTTGTTTTGATTGTATTTTATGAAATCTTATTGGTCTTCTATTTGTGTGGTATATCAAAATTGTCAGTAAATTTCATTATTTATTACTCATAAAAAATTTTTTTTTTAATTTTACTAATGTCTCAATTTCTGAATGAAATTGACAAGGTACCAAATGAATTATTATTAAGAATTTTTCAATATCTTAATGGAAATGATTTAATAACTTGTACATTATGCAATCAACAATGGAATGATTTAATAAGCAATGACAAATATATATGGTTGTCTATTTTTGAAACTGAAATGAATACTGGTTGGTTATGGTTAAATAAAGAAATGGTTCATATATTAAACTCATTTAATTTGATAAATAAAAGTTTATTGATAGAATTCAATGAAAATGGTCAACAGAAATTTAAAAACTATCGAAAAATCACTGAACTAATCACACAAGTATTGAATAATCCTGCTTGTTTTATGAAAAAAATATATTCATACTATACTAATGTATACAAAATGGAACAAGAAATATTACAAACACGGATTATTCCCTATTTAAACTCAATGAATAATGAAGAGATTTGTTTTGATTGTATAATATTAGGACCAGCTATTGATACAGTTCATTTAATTGGAGGATTTATGCATACACTTTTAAGTTGGATAGATTTAGCTTTAACAATGAATAGACAATCTATTAATTTTAAAAAAATGCATAGAACTAATACTCCATGGGCTGGACAAGGATTTATATTACGTTTACCACAATGTTTATCATTAAGTGATAAAGAGAACTCTAAGGGTATACTTTTTAATGCAACAATTTTACATTCACGTAAGCATATGATACGTTCTAGGTATCGTTATGGTGGTAGTCGATTGTTTGGTAATTGTTTAGTTGAAGCACCAATAACCGATCAACAACCAGTTGGTAGTGTAAAATTGACTCATTGTACTACTAATGCAATTAGTTCAACACAAATTGTGTTCTATGTTATTGATATACGAAAAGAAGATAGTGGTTTGTTAAATAATGAAAATGGTGATACTATATCTCTTATAAATCCATATAATTCTGATAATGAAAGATGGAATGAAATACGTGTTGAATTAGATGCTTTAACAAATTGTATGAATTCAGAACAAATATTAATTGTCTTAGGAGTTGGTAGTCAAAACGATAATATAAATAATTACAATCTTATAGAACTTGCTTCAAATCTTGGCTGTGATCATGGTATTTGTTCGGAAAAATTTGTTTGTGATGAGAATGATAACAATCATGGGAATATTGACGCTAATCTTGTTAAACCATTATTGAATAAACCACACATAAATTGGAGATTATGGTGTACTTCAGTAAATGAATTAACTTATACCAATTTGGAAGAGATTTTTTTCTGGACAGCTATAACTTATTTGAATAAATCACATATTGTTAAAATGATTTCAAATGAATCGTTAACAAAGCAAATTAAAACTATACAAAATCGTATAACTAATTATTATCGTGTACTTTCAACTGATAAATAACCATGGGATTTCCCATAATTCCTTGCTATTTATTTTTATTATCTTGTTTTGTAATGACATTCTTTTGAGAAGCTTCTTTTGTGTATAAATCTATCAAAAGTTGTTTGTACGTCATAGCTTGTTGTTTTTTTCTTAACAACAATGTAAATTCTTCCTGAAACTATTGTGTACACCAATCCAGTTCTTATTTTCTTACAAAATAAAGTCGAATTACTTATGTTGGTTAATAATTCGTCAGGATGTATTCCACAACTTCAAAACAAATAGGTCATCATCATAATCTATGAATATACATTCGGAAATCAATATAAATTCTCACGAAAATACTTAGTTTTCTATTATTTTCAGTTTTCATAGTGAATTATTTGAATCACATGAATAAAATGAGAATCATGATATATCGATTTTTTGTTTTTAGATAAATGTAATCATCCATTTTTGAGATGGTAGAGGAGATTTGTAGCTTAGGTGAATGATTTGGGCGGAGTTTTTTTCTCTGAACTGGAGAGAACAAAACTGCAAACATCATTTTTGTCTACATATTAGTGTGTTTGTGTGTAGTGGTTAAAATATTTGTTGTCTTATTGTTTAAGTAAATATTTTTGGGATGGTTAAAATCATCATGATAAACCGGTGTGCAAGGAAATAGTTTTGAATAAAATGATAATATTGGTTTAGGATTAGAACATTTTTAGTTATTCATTATCTTAAAGTTTAGAATTATGTTTAGTTAAGCATTTTATTTGATGTCTGTCTTTATCAGGTCTATGGATATATCATGTTTAATTTACTTATGCCATATGTCATTTAATATTTTTCATCACCAATCACAGTATTAATATTCTGACGAATATAGAGATTTTCACTAGACTTATGATTTTACAGTTTGGTATAACTGTACAACTTTGAGAAAAAAAAGATTGACAAACAATAGTTTTTTTTTGAGTCATTCAATTAATTCATTAGTTATTGAATAGAAATATTAATTTTGATTGATTCATATGATCACATCGTGTTAAACTAGTAACCAATTTATTTTTAAGCTAAACGTTTGTATTCTTGTAGCTACATTTTATTTTGATGTCAAACAAACTATCCGAAATTTGGTTGCTCATAGATACTCAACAGGGTATTACATTGTGGGAAAATCTAATATTTTGGAGATTTTAGTGTTTTTTCTCTAACTTTCTACTTTCATTACACTTTAGTCGTAAGTGAAAAGATCATATAATGAAAAAAGTTTATAAATAATTACGTACTTATGATTAAAAACACGATATTCTTATTTATCGAATTTCATGGTCTGATAAATTATTAGCAACGGAATGCAAGAATTCAAAGATAAATGAGATTGTGTAATGTGTGTTTGTGCTCAATGATAATAATCCAACCATTATCACCATCTTGAAACAGCAGCCTCTGTGGTTTTTTCATGTGTAGTCAAAGTGATCCCGGTGACTTCCGCATCGGACATTATTAGCCGACTCTTGGACTTGTCGGGGAAGACAAAGAAGTGGTCAGTTTAAGACATGTCTCTGTAGTGTTTTAGAGATGGTACAGCTCAAGGACTTAAGACACTATCACACATGGCTCAAAACAGAAGCCATTGGCGATTTTGCTATAGTTTCCGTTAAAATTCTTTATAAAAATATTAGAAACTGAACGAATTCTTCTTGGTCGTATTTTTATTGAACTGTTACTTTTGATTCATTTATTTTTATGCATTTATCTGTTTTTAACTATACGCCTTGCTCTTTCTCTTCACTGTTTCATTTCCCCTATATACGTTGGTCTCCAGTTGTACCCGTATTTATGCATGTTAAATAAACATATGATTCAATGATATGTAGAGAAGTAGGTTTCTAACCTGTTGCAAGGCGATAAACACGTGAATTTGTTTGAATTGCTAGCGATAACTTAATGAAATAAGTTCATCATGAAAACCTTTTTAAACCCACTGCTTTCTGTCTTTTTTTTAAAAATAATCTAAATATAGAACTCTTGCAGGTGGATATGCAAGCGGATTTAATCATGTAAAACCGAACGAATATAGACCTCGTCTTTTACTGTTTCATTCAGTTGATCGTAAAAATATGGAATTAATTGAAGTGCCATTTTCAAGACGTTCTTTGGATTCAACAGATGTCTTTATTTTGGATATGGGTACTGAAGCATATCAGTGGAATGGACGTGGGTGCACTAAAGAAGAAAAATTCAAGGTAAGGCCATTAATGTTTTTATATATGAAAATCATCAATCTGTCAAGATCCACTTATGGAAAATGCTATATGTCACTACCCAATCTTTGATTTCCTCAAGTTGTTTACATAGCTACTGTTTATACGAAACTATATGGCTGATTTGTAGCACTTATAGTCTGTTATTTCTCCTTTGTACATCAATTTTCATAGTTTTACTTTTTTATTCTTGTTTCACACAATTATTTCCTCGTGTATATCATGTGTTTCATAATTGCAGAATTTGATTTACTTTTTGGTGTTGACTCGGATTAGTTTTTGTTTCAACTGTACTATTTGAGTAAATTTATGTACGCGAAAATGAAGAACGTTAAATGCAAAACTCATTAATGCATATATATTCAGCAAGAACACTGTGTGTCATGAGAATGATTTCATCTTGTCATCAATCTATGCAAAAGATAGAACACGTAATTGCAAAAGATTACCATAATCTTATTTTATATAATTTATTGACAATAGAATATATTACTGTTTGTATTTAATACTTTTCCACATTTCAATATGTCCATGCAAAGAAATACTGAAACAAGAGTATAATTATCTGTCGTCACTCATTCGTCCGTATATAAGCTCTAATTGTTTTCTAAGTAAACTGATTGAAATTTTGTCAAGTATACTATGCTACCATATTTTTATGAAATCTTAATGATAAGGTAAATAACTATTTATGAACACTTGAATCATTAATATACTGAGATAAATAGATTAACTTAATGTTGATGTCTTTGTATTTCATATAGGTTAATTAATTGATTATGTTGTAACCAGTTATCAAGAATATTCTGTTTACTGGTCGGTTTTGATTCCAAAAGGTCAAATAATAATAATAATATTGTTACTCGACAAGTGATGTTATTAAGTGGATGATAGTTCAGTACAGAGATCTATTCATTTGTACATAAGGAAGTCATTTATGAACTATCCATATTTCTGCCAGCCATTAATGCTGTCGTAAAACCTTTACCTCCAGAAACATAAATTACACTTTTTACATTTGGTATTGAACAATTATGAAGATCAGTTCTGAACTAAACTCAAAATGTAGTTTCTCAACTGTGCATTCGGTATAATAATGAAGATAGATGAGGTCTATTATACTATTTAAATTTATTTTACGAATAACGGATCAATGATATCAGTTATTCATATTTCCAAAATACTCTATGTATTTTTAGTGGGTTAAAAGTTTAATTGGTAAAGTTTGTTATTCTTGATGTTATTCAGGCAAGTCAGTTTTTACAACAACTGGAGTCTGATCGAAATGGAAGGTGTAAAACTGAGGTGACAGATGAAGATGGTTCTGAGGAACATGTAAGTTACTTATTTCTAAAACTTCTAATTGTCTTGTCAGTAGACGTAAAATTCACTTCAAAGTGTGTTTTCTGCTTTGTTGTATAGATGTTTACCAGAATTCATTAACTTAGTCTGCATAGTCTAGTCATACTCATGTTTTCAGAGATATTAACTTAGGTGAGTGTTATATCTTGAAACCCACTAACCAATATCACGTGCCTAGTCACCATTCAGAATCCTTCTAATTTGGTCTGTTATTTACTCTGTAGTTCAGTGTTTTTAACTTGGTTAAATACACTGGATCAGCATTACTGACCCTAAGTCAACAGCTAAGTCCCCGTTGGCTCACTATTTACTAGCTCCTCTCTATGTCCTGTATTTGAGTTCATAAGTCAACAACCAGCCTCTACTATATCTGTGTTTCAAACAAACGTGGTTTATATACAGGCATATATAACTTTACCACACCATAATACAAAAAATAAGTTATACGCAAACAAGTCAAAAGTGACTGTGAGTAGGGGAGACTGTAAATAAACGACTGGAAACAAAATAGGAATAGTCAGTCGTATGACACAAGTTGATTAGTTAACTGAAAGCTTATAATAAACAGAATACATAGACATAATAATCCGGTCTCTTGATAATTATAAAGTAAGGATATGTATAATAAGGATGATGCATAAATTAGCTCTGGGAGCTGCCATTTTTTAAATCTTCGTTCAGACATAACAAAATTCATGTATGATACGTGAATGAGCCAAAAGTGGCTGTGAATGGGGGAAACTGTAGTTAACAGACTGGCAACAATTTAGGAACAGTAGGTCGAATGACAGTAGTTTATGGGTTAACCAAAAGCTTATAGTCATAGGAAAACATATACATAGTAATCTAGTTATTCAGTAATTACTGAACAAAAAGTAAAATCAATAATTCTAAAAACCGTTTCCAACTTCTAAAATATTCGTTCCGTTATAATAATAAGATAATAAAGTACCATATCGAAATGAATCATGCTCATAGTAACTGTAGATGCCATGATAGCATTATCACTACTTGTCACCCGATATCTGCATTGTATGAATATAAATGTTTTCGAATTTTTATCCATCAGAAATGAAAGCATTACGATGGCTTTGGAGATTTCACGCTTTTTATTCGACGTAGTTATCATAATCATATTAGATGTTAACAAAGCGTATTTGCGATTCCTCAGTACAATATATTGGTCTAAAGGTTAAGGGTTTGTATACAAAACTGAAGGTCTATCCCTGGTAGTGGGGTCGTGAATATGTACTCCCGGGTTGTTCTATACTTCGATAAAACGACTGTCAAGTGCTTCCCAGTTTTCAATGGTGGTTTTAACCAAGTTCAGTTCATGATTTACATTATGGGAAGCCTACAATCTCCACAAACCCTCCATACTAAAAAGGAATTATTAAATTTCAGCTATAATATTGAGACAGTGTGTTATAACATAAAAATTAACTAAACAAACTTCAAGTTTTTCAGTATCCCGTACTTACCAACTTATGACTCGAACCTGAAACAATTTGAATTTTATCTTCAGTGTAAGAATAAATTAGGAAACTAATTCCCACTTTAAATAAAGCAACAGATTATTTAAATAAAACGATTGATGTTTAACTATTAGGACTGAATCTTATTCAATCGTTTCTTACTGTAAACAGTGATTTACATAAGACCTAAAGCACACAAAATTCTACCTATTCTTCATCTAGATCAATTTCATTTCTGTTTAAAATGTATTTATTATTATTATTATTACTAAAATCTGTTTATTATAAAAAGGGACAGTTGCATACAATAATCATTGGTATACATGTGTTTCTGTTTCATTCATGTTTTTTCTTTGTTTTATACAGAAAAAGTTCATTAGTTTATTGCCAGATGTTGCAATAGAAAAAAAAGTTGAACAAAAAATAGGCAAGAAAGTAATTTACAGGTAATTGTTTCTAAATATTTATCTATGTAAAAGTTAATCATATTGTTTATTGATCATTAAATGACCACTTTTACGCCCATATTTAATATTAAAGTGGAATATAGTAGATATTATATCCGCGGTCCTATTTTTATATCTTCAGCGCCGCTGCTGTGTTTGTAGTGGGTTTTTGTTAATGTTCATGGTTGTCGTCGCTATTACGTACGTATAAACTCTGCTGAGTTCTCAGTCTTACTGCTTATACTTTGAGACTCGAATCATTGCGATTGCCATGATGCAAAGTAAGAACATACAAAATTCATGCAATGAAGATTTATTGACTCTTCAAAAACACGTCACCAAACAAGTCCCCAAAATCACATCGTTGTTTGACTAAAATACAATTATTTATTTATCGTATTACACTTAATAATACCACATTGGGAGAAATACATGGAGTTACTGTAAAAATACAGGGAATGTACTTGTCAAACAAACCGAAAGTTCACTCTAGTTGAACGTTGTTACTGAATTGATACAATAAACATTGACCTAAAGAAGTTCTTTCTAACCCGTCATATCAAGTTCAAACAGTTTGATTAGTGAGTAATTACCGTCTAAGAATTTGTGACTAAACAATTCTTCGACAAAAATCAATAAATATCTTTCCCACGTCACTTGAATTGACGAATTTCTGTTGATAAATCTGAGGCGAATTTATGCATTAAGTGTAAGTAGTCTAGGCATTAGTTATCAATAGCTTTCTATTGTTACTTTATTAAACTTAAATGACTATTCATCACTACTACTAATAGCACGGTATCATTGTGGCTAATTCTAACTTCGACTCAATTAGTCTGTGAATTTGTTAAAGCTTGATTAAAGAATCGGCTGGCCTACTTTAGTTTTCTAATTATGAATGATCGAGATTCTCCTAATACACATTTGAACAAATATGGACTATATAATACGGCAATCGACACACACAATTCGATAGTTTAAATCATTGAGCTGTAATTTATTTGTGATTCAACATGTGACCACTTAGTGAATTATTATTGTGTTTAGTACTCACTTCTTAAACATTGTTAATCTAGCCCTGATGATACAATCTTATGTGAAACTATCTGCAAACTGAAAAAAGTTTCAACCCATTATCCTGTTGATTAGCATTTTTATTTAATCAATTCATGTAACATTGCTTGTTTATACCATCATCAGCTAGCAATAGGATATTAGTCAGAGAGATTCCATCCTTTTATGGATCGATCCATATAGTAATAAGAATTCACGTTCACATTCACACTTGCTACATTATTTTTCACAAGAGTTCAGTTCACCAATATTTCAAACCTGTTTGACTCATTTTTCACCATACACCCAATTTTTTTTCTTTTACTTTTCTAATTTTTTATAGAGTTTCAGATGAAAGTGGTAAAATGGAGATTTCACTTGTATGTGAAAATGCATTACCGAAAGCGTCCCTAACAGAAAACGATGTATATCTCATTGACAGTGGACAATCTCTATTTGTTTATATTGGAGTGAAATGTAGTAGACGAGAAAAATTGGATGCATTATCTCATGCACATGTAATTCATTTGAAATTTACAGTTAAAGATTTGTTTTTTAGTTTGATATTTTTGTAATAAAATTGTACTTCATTTGTAATTCATTTAATTACGGATAATGAGTTCCGTACAACCTTAGTTCTCTGAGCAGGTTGATTTAATTATGAAGCTTTCATTATCACTCTGGACATCATTATTAGCACAAACTTTCAAATAAGAGTGATTTATTTTAATTTCTCCGTTTTATGACTAACAGCTTTTTCTGTCGACTTTGATATTGGTTAGTTGCTTCTAACCCTTGTTTTGTCATTGCTTGCATATTTATTTTGATTATCTTCACGCTATTGGTCTGATTCTTAACGTTATGGTTTTACAAAATCTTTCCAAATGTTCGGTAAGTTGAATAGATTTCGATATGTTTGTTGATTGCTGATTGAGCTCAGTGTTAAGCTTCTTCAAATTTTCTGGTCTTCTAAGTAGTCTCTCTGTCCAAGATCTCATCATTTTTGCAGTCGAACGCATATCTACAATTGTCCACATTCGCTGATATAAGCGAAGATAGCTAGTTGATGTCCTTGCAGAATTCGAAGAGGGTGGCCAACTTGCCAGCCATAATGTTTCTCACAGTCGTAACGATTTATTTCGTAAATGATGTTTAACTTTTATTCTTTTGTCATCTCATTCTTGTATTTACATAAGATTCAGAGGAGTGATTTAGCTGGTTTGTAGGTTACCCCTATTCCAAGCTGCTTTAATAGTCTTGCGATCTCCGATATGTCCTTCATATGTGATAAGAAAATCCGTTTGTTGGTTTCCATGTTTATTTGTCTGACTCCAGTATGATCGAATCGTTTATTATCTCACATAGCTTCGTATATGTTCTATCGAGTTAACGCGTTTCGAACAATCTGCTAAGAATGTATAAGTGTTTGGTTGATTTTCTTTAGTCTTCAACTTAATATTTTATTGAAATTACCTCAGTTACGAACCAAAACTTAAAAGAACAAAACATTTTTTTCTGATACAGACTTTTGTATCATATTGGAACTAATTCATAATTCGTGTTATTATGGGTTGTATTACACACATACACACGTAGACACGGATGTACTTACTTGGTACAAATATTGTTAGTACATGTGCTGTGTGTTACTCCATAACATTTATCAAAAGGTTGAATAATGTTAATTCAACAGAACCTATTTTGTACCATTTGAATATGTAAAGATATATCTACATCGACTTACATTATATATGCATGCGTGTGTGTTTGTTTGATTATTCATTATATACTTATGAAAATGATACAATCATATTTATAAGTACAATAAACAAATGAATTTGTAATTAACTAATCACATTAGATTGTTAGTGTTTGAGTGTGAATTTATTTTGTCACTTTAGATATCTTTGAACAAAATAACTGATAGGAAAAGCATTTCGTGTGATCTGTGTAAGCTGCTAGTATTCAAATTGACTGATATCATCCGGGAAACTGTCTGTTAGTTGTACACATTCACGGCGACCATATGACATGAAATCCGATTTGTTGTCTCAGTAAAACACTTTGAAACCGATTATGAATTCTCATTTTCAATCAAATTTTAATACACAGCACTATCGTCATCGAACGCCATCGATATGTTGCTGTTTAGGTCTGAAATTGAATACTTTACTGAGGTATGGTTTCTCACTAGAACTTCCGGTATTCATTTCTAAGCTAGTTTCTGTTGGCCACATAGCTATTCTTTACATATATTCCCCGAATTACGTCAGCTAGATACTTTTGAGGAGTTGAACTTAACATCTCAAGAGTGAAAATCTTCACATTTTGTAATCTTAATTATTTCTTGTTATTTATTTATTTTTTTTAATTATTAGGATTACTTACAAAAAACTGATCATCCATTCGCTCCAATCACTGTTGTATCGAATAATCGTAAATCGAAAGAATTGGATAAACTGCTCGAATAGTGTTGAATAGCAGTTAAAAAAAAGGTGAATGATCATGTCAACTTTAAAAAAATGGAATGAAATTTCAAGTTATATTAATTCTGTCTGTATTCATAATATCATTACAATATATTCTGAAGTTATATTTACACTTATAAAGTGTATTATTATATGCATGAATACTATTTATTTGTACCTTAATTATCTTATCTCGTTATTTATTCAACCAATGTTGGTTTGAATATTATGTGTTATGTGCTTTCAAATAAATAATTGTTTTTCTTCCTAATGTGTTATGTCCTTATAGCCTGTTAATATATCACATGACTAAATCAACAATTAAGAACACCGACTTCCATGATCAGACCAATGACGCATTAACTAGTACGAGCAGCTTAGAGTCAACTCAGAGTTCTTGTTGATCCTCAGAGATAGTAGCTTCTCGCCTAAACCACTCGGTTCAATTCAGAACACCATTATCAGCCTCCGCTATATGAATCATGTATTACAAACATAAGCAGCTTATATACAAGCAAATCAGACTGTATCATACCACGAAACAGAAAATAACAATTACAAAAGATCAGGCTCTAAGTATCCGTGAGTGTGAGATTCTGTAACTGATAAATCGGGTATAACTTGGCTTAATTTAATTTGGTTATTTATTCTCACGGAATGTCAGAAAATCTAATTTATAACAATCTACCCAATGCTTGATTTATTTGAAATTATCAAGTTAAACCTTGGTAATGATAACTATAACTTTAGAATAGTAAATCATATAATAGTCGTCAATGGGTCAAATGGAAGCTTATAATAAAAAGAATATTGATACGCATATAACGTACTTATTTAGTAGTTATACGATAAGAATATATGTAATAACAGTCCATAAATAGATCTTAGCAGTTACCATTTACTTCTTCCTACGGATATAACAGAATAAATCTTGAATATTTCTTTCCGTTGTATTTTGAGATTTGATTTCCAGTTGGGTTTACTATAATTTCTAACTACTAATGAGTTGAGATAATTTTAATACATTGGATTTATTTTTCACTCAGTATTATGGTAGTTAACACAATTTGCATTATGACAGAACACTTGAAGTCAAAATGTATGGAAAAACTTCATATTTAGCCAAGAGGAAGTTGAATTAGAACAACTCTGTAAGTATAAGAATGAAACACAACATTGGGGCACTGGAAAGTTAGCAACTTGCAGGAGACGACAGTCAATCAATAAGGAGCATAAGCCATGAGAAAATACAAATGAGGGAAAATGAACTCAGTGCGATCGTCTCAAGAAAAAAAGACTGACATTTAATAACAAAACTGCATGCATTTAGGTCTTCCTAACACTTTCTGAACAGAATATGCATATGCTTGTCGTCATCGTTCAAATGCACGGATAATCTCGTGTTACACGAGATTTTAAGTTTCAGATTTGAATTTGGTGCCTAAGAGCTACTATTTAATGTCGACATTCACACCCGTTTGTGAGGCATACTTGATGTATAATAATTAACAACGTCTGAAATAAGGTTTTTCGAAATGTAGTGTGCGTAACGGTATTCAAAAGAACTATACTTTCATTGGTACTTAAGTTCATAAAACAAAATATGATGAACTAACACTCGATTCCTCATTACTCTTCAGGAATAATTGGTGGTAGAGGAAATGGCTGTTATTTTAGCGGACATATATCGTTTCGATCTCATCGTTCAGGTATTCAAGTGTCTAAAGGCTTGGACCTAGGTTTCGTGCTCTCCCAGGAAAACTGTTTATTCCGTTGGAAATATACTAGTAATCACGAAAGAATCAGTGCATGAAGACAAGAGAAGACACTGGAAATAAGTTGGTGTATTGTGTGAGGTTCATTAATCAATACAAACATCATGTCTTTAAATGATTGTCTATACCAATTCTTACAATTGCCGCCTTTACGAGAATCTCTATTCCTAATTTTGACAGTGGTAATTGCATCATAGGAGAATTAAACAAATTCGAGTTCAACTATATAAAGTAGCCTCAAAGGAGTATCATCAAAACTTGGGTGTATCACCTTATTCCATATAAGTACAGTGTACAAATTAGTCCCTTATTCAATAAGCGGCAAATAATTAACATCCGTTAGCTCAATATTATTCCTACAGCCTTTTGATTATCTAAGTGTGAATTATTTAACCTGTTGGACCACTGAAAAAAGAACGCTGATCCACTCTAAAACTTTCAAACCATTTCATTTTCACGAACAACCATTGAGCAGCATGTAAGGTAACATGTCCACATCATAATAATTTGTAGTTCTCATTTCTCTACATCATAAGATCAACAAAAATTATAATGAAAATAATGATAATCATATTACTACTAATAATTTTTACCAACACTATTATAACTATCAGTATCATAGTAATGTATTGGCCTCGTTATTTTGATGCGGTGTAGATCTATTGCTTCTCAATCATGTCGCTGTTAAAGGACAAGAGTGTGTTGTTTCAAGGTCTCAATTACGACATAGTTGTTGTTCAATTCACTAAATCATTTTTTCTCAGACAAAAATTATTCTTAGTAGTTTAATTAAACATACATCAACTGAATGACACATAACTGGTTTTGTTGTTATGTTATTAGAAAGAGGTAGTCTGTTAAATTCTGCATTTAAACAGAACAAAACAAAGCTATTTACGTGAAGTTAAATGATTAAACTTTCATTCACACAAACAAATTCATTAAATATTTGCATATTACCATATGACATCACAGTCATCAACTCATCTTTTTAAGATTATGAAACTACGTAAGTAGTTTAATTAAAAACAATCCCTTTGATGAATCTGCATAATACAATTAAAACCGTCTTTTCATCATATTATACAAATAGTTTAATATGAATCCGACTTTATAGATTAAGGAATGGATTCATAACTTTCTAGAATGATTTGGAAAAAAGTGTATTCACATTAGCTTAATGGGATATACATGTGAAATCACTTAACTGTTGTGAGATTATGTGAAATCTTGATAAATGGACTACATTTAACTTCATCATAATTATTGGAGATAAAACTCTTTGTCGATATTTCTCACCAAAAATTGACTGGAAGGTCCTAAGTAGTTTATTTCTCATTTTAATGTTTCTTGTTACTGAATGTTATCTTTTTGTATTATTTTTTGACTACTCAAATAAATACAAGTAGTCAAACGTTAAAGTAAATGTATGATTTCAAAAGAAGAAACCTGTTAAAATGTTAACTGAGATTAAATTCAACTTAACGTTGATTTGATCTACTAATATATTATTGAAATATAATCCATTTATCCGAAAAAAACAAGTATCTCTGTTTATGCATAAGTTCCAGAATATTTATATATCAGATTGGTTTTGCTAATTAGCATAAAATCACTTTAATATCAAACTTCAGTATGTTGATTATATGAAGATTTGGATAAGACAAAGTTACTTGATGACAAGGTAAGAATATATTCACCCTTTTAGTATTTGAGGTTACAGCCTAATACATCCTTGTAAAATATTTGTTTCTATTATTTTTCGTGTGTATAAAGACCAAAATTAGCACTAGCATATGATTAATTGATTACTATGACATCATATGGAAAATACAGTTGATCAGATCCATCAAAATCCGTAACATTGGATAACCTAAAACCTCCGTAGTAAATGAATCAGCTAGAAACTAGAGCAGTATATGCTTTCGGCTTTCCATTCTAAGGTGAAATTGTAGAAATATCGGTATCGAGACATAACACACTAATTGATTTTACTACCTTATTCAGTTAATTGAGAAACGTAGAGTAGCAACATTGACAGCCATGTGCATATGACGTACTGAATATTCAGAAGGAAGACATTTATGATTCATTTTATATGTAATTATATAGTTCTATATTAAAGAAGAAAAGATTGAAACGTATTTATTAATCATTCCTATGAAGACCTTATTATTTGAGAGCGAAGTTTTTTTCTTCATTCAAGAAAATAACCTTACAAATGATTAGGGATTATTTGATCTCTTTTATCGGTAATTATTAGATCTTGAGTGGTTTCTGTTTATTAAGAGATTGATGGGAAAACAATCTTGAGCAGTTTCTATTTCATGTAGACACATGTCATCAAGGACTTCCTTAATTTGAAGTTACTGAAATTTATGACTAGAAAATATCATTTTACATTAGAAATTATGCAATTTTTACTTCTTATCAAAGCATCTATCATATATTTGATTTAAATGTCTTACTAGTGTGTTTAAAAAGCTATTTTTATTTTTAAACAGATTTTACGCGTATAGAGATTTATGGAAGGTGTAAATCATGTACTCTGAACGTGATCCTCAACAATGTTTACTACAGCAGATCACAACAGTCGGAATTTTGTTTGAAGATGATCGATTAACTAAATTAAAATCAACACAGAGATGTAATTAAACATCGGAAAAAGTGAACGTAATAAATCAAATGAAGTCTTGCTCATTCAAAAGTTAATGTTAATTCAGTTTGACATGAAACATTCATAAATCTCGATAGTAAAATACACTAGATTGACAGTGAAATGCATTTGTTTATCTCTTTCAAACGGTGTTTTTATGGTACCCCGTTAAGAAACCTCAATTCAACAATCAAAATACGAGTATGAATTATGGAAAAATGCGATTATCCAAAAAGTATGGTATTATCATTTAAAATAAAAATAAGCAAGAACAATCCTTATGTGTCGAATAATAAAGCTTTTAGGCGTTATTTATTTATTGTGAAAAGCAAAAGTGTAGGCAGAAACCAAATTTTCTGATTAAGTGAAAATATTTGAGGCTGTAAGAAAAACTCTGAACAATACAAAACTTCATGATCATGTGTGAAGACGTCTTTAGACGAAATAGATTGGGAGAAAGGAAGAAAAATGGTCAGAGATTTGAGAATCTCATTACCTTCAACAAAATGATTATAAGTGGCATTATATTCCTCAACAAGCGTATACATAAAGCTGTATGTGTCTCACCAGACCACGCAACACAGAACCAGATCGATCACATCTTCATCGATGAAAAATTCAGAAGGTAATGGAAGATGTTCAAACCAATAGAGAAACTGACATAGCTTCAGGTCACCACCAACTGATGGTTGTCCAGATGAAACTGAAGCTAAAGAAGCACTGGAAACCTGGAAAACATCATTTTCAGTTATATGCGGATACGTGATAATAAACAACTAAAAGTCGATCGAATGGAATCGCAACAAGAAATAACCGATCACTTCTTAGTTTAAATATGAT